TTTAATGTTTCAATTTCAGAGTCTTTTTCAAGGTAAATGCTTTCATCCTTGTATAACTCAACACAATCATCAATAGAACCTAAAAACATTAAAATAAGATTGATGAAAGATAACATAAACAGATCTAAAAGAGAGAGAGAGAGAGAGAGGAAAAACACAAGGAAATGGACATAAAAAAAACCCAAATCTGTTTCAAACTCACGACACCTAGTTCGCCTTTCTAGTGCATAACTTGTAGTAAATTCCAGAATATCAAATATGTATGTTAAAATTACGTAAAAAGGGGAATAAAAAAAATCATATTTCAACGAATAATCATACCTAAAACCCTTTTACACAATTTGTCTTCTTTTACCATTGACTGAAGTTCAGAATCTTGTATTTATGTGGACGGTGTTCTTAAATGAGCACGTTTAATCTTAAACCAATTATAAACATTCTTATCCCAAATTTGGCCATATAACGACAATTCAGAGACTGTTTATGCGATCTTTGATTTGTTTGGAGTAGTGTTGCCTTGATGAAATATAGATTCAAGAATTTGGAGTTGGGAAAATGTAGGTGTCCATCTACCCATTATCACTATGAAAGCAAGCAAGTCAACTACAAGATATGTAAATCCTCAAACTTAAAACAGAAAAATTAATAAAATATATTATACCGACGAGGAAAAAAATAAAAAATATATTAATATTATGCTAACTCTGAGGAATATAGACTATCTATAGCTATGCATAGATAAGCCGCATGCTTCAACTATTTATCAAAGCGTGCATAGGCATCATACTTCAATTATTTATTTAGCAAAATGTTAAGTTGAAAGCATGTCTAATGAATAACTTGTAATCATGAGAAAAACAAATATAATAGGGAAAAACCTAACTATCATTCACTTGCAGTAAAAATTGGGAGTAAGAGTTAGTTTATGTGTTTTTTTTTTCACATTATATAACATGTATATGTTGGCAAGAAATCATCTAAATTTTTTTGGCGAGATTAAGTAATTTGAGATAGATGTTTTCAGTTTCATTTGATTCGATAAGGTTTATGCATGAATTTGGTAATCAGGTTCCTTGTTCTTGCATTATGCCGTTTGGCAGAAGAAATTGATAATTGATTAGTTGGAAGTATTGCTTTCTTATTTGGGAAATGAAACAACCTAAAAACTCCGGTTGCTTTTACTTGGCTACTCCGTGCAGGGCCATTACCTTCGTGCACGGAGACTTAGGTCTTCCTGCACGAACGCCATTACCTCAAATAGCCTCTGTGCTTTACCTCCGTACACAAAGACCACAAATTTTGTTTTTCTTCCTTTTTCCTTTCAAATGTTTTTGGGAATAATAAGAAGACAGTCTTTCAGTAAAAATGTCTATTCTACCACCCTTAAATCTCCTGTTAAATCTAATTCAAAAAGCAAAGTACACTTTCTTTTAGCTTAAATACCTTCATTTCTCACCTGATTTTTTTTCATTCAACTCACCCATACTTCAAATATTCCATATAACAAACAATAATTTTCTCATAAAATGGATGTCTCGCGTAGTTTCTTCATAAGCATCACCCCTTCCCTGAATCACAATATTCATCTAATTAGTGCTTTTTTCACATTTTAATATATGTTTTATCACATGCTTATGTTTTTATTATTTTTATATGTATATATAATATAGATGCTTCTTACATCTTTTGTCAATAATTGTAGGCAACAATTCGGTGATACAATACAAGTAATTGCATATGATGGCATAATTGTCACCATCAAATTAGAAAGAGTCGATGGAAAAATATACCCAGCCGACGGATGGGAACAATTGTTTGACCATCATAATTTATAGGATGGTTATGTTCTAGTATTCGAATATAACGGTAATTCCACACTAAACACGAATATATTTGACCATTCTGGGCTAGAGGTTACATATGATTCTGATGAAGAAGACGAAGAAGGAAACACTTCAAATAATCTCATATTTGAAATAATACTAACACCCCGTCTTAACAGCCACAGGAAAATTGTAAGTTGTATATTTTATTTTTAATAATATATATATATATAATTTTTGAGTTCAAAATTTTTCATCTACTGCAGTATATACCGGAAAGTTTTGCCCAACAGCACCTATTGAAATTTGTGTGCAACATTCAGATCCACGACTTTCTGCAATACAATTGGGACATTACAAAAAATTTAAGACCAAGTGGCGTAATAAGATGTCTTACTATAGGTTGGGCTGATTTTGTTACGAAAAAAGAACTACAATGGGCGATAGATACATCTTCCAGCTAATTAACAATGAATCCCCAATATTTATGGTCTACAAAAAAGGTCATACTGGAAGTTTGACACATCTATAAAACTTTTAACTTGTTGTAACTTTTTTTTCTGCTAATCTACTTTATGTTCACATACATTATATATATCCATGATAATTAATATAAAATCAATTCCATCAATTTCAAAGTTTGGAACTTCCAAACCTCAACAAATTCATCAAAATTCTGCACCTAGAAAACAATACACGAATATTAAAAGCACCAGGAAAAAACAAGTGAATTTATACACAAACAAGAAGAACAAAATATGTAATAAAAAAAAAGAAACAATAACACATTAAACTCCAAACTCTAGATATAAAAATAAAAAGAGATATAAAAAGAGAAAAGAGAATAAGAAACATTTTTGTGAAAATATATAATAAAAACAAAATAAAAAATTTATGAAAATTAAATAAAGAATAGTATAAATACTATTTAGTTAAAATTGAAAAATTAAATTTTATTATGAAGAAAAAAGACTGGAACAAAAATTTATATCTATAACGTAAAAAAAAAAAAAAAAAAAAAAAAAAAATACAAAGACCTCCATACACGGAGACAAATATATCCGTGCACGTAGAGTATTGCCTCCATGTATGGAGGCAAAGAGCTTATATATATATATTCCCCCTTTTTTAAAGCTAATCTCTAAGTAAGCACAACAATTTATTTATATAATTTTTTTTCTATAAGTAATTTTTTAAACTCTAGCAATATTTTTTATCTTATTATTATGCATATTGCAGTAAATTTTGAGGTACATTGTATATAATATATACTAAGACAAACGACGTTGTTTTTGCTGCCCACTTAAAAAAAAATGCTACATTAAGACAAAATGAAACAAGTTAGTGTTGATTTCTACAACAACTCCACATTTTCTTTTTATATAGTAGGGATATAAAAAATTGCGTTTTAAACGAAAATAATTTTAAATCGAAAAAAAAATTTATAATACGAAGAAAAAAGAAATTTCAATACAATTTAAAAAATATATAATAAAAATTAAATAAAAGAAAGTTAGGAAAATTAAATAAAGAATATATAAATATTATTTAGTTAAAATTGAAAAATTAAGTTTTATTATCATAAGAAAAGAATTAAAAAGAATTTTAAATTGAAAAAAGAATTATCTATAATGTATTAAAAAAAATTAAATTCCTATGGGCTGGGAGACTTTTGCCTCCGTGCACGGAGTTTTTTTTTTTTTTTTTTCAATTTAAAATTTCTTTCTCTTCAAATTTTTACTTGTAACTTTTTACATTTTAGATTTTTTTTTGGGTTGTTTACGTTATAAATAATTTTTTTATTTAAAATTTCTTTCTTTTCAAATTTTTACTTTTAAATTTTTACATTTTAAAAATATTTTTTGTCCTATTATTAGTATTTTTATTTTTTAATAATTCCAATCGATGAGAGTTATGAAAAGTTGCGTGTTAGAGTAAATTTAAATGGGCTCTTTTACTGTATAATAAAATATATATATTAAGCAAAGACAGACGACGTCGTTTTTGCTCCCCCACTTAAAAAAAGAAAAAGAAAAAAATGCTACAGTGAGATGAAATGGAATAAGTCACTGTTGATTTCTACAGTAACTTCACGTTCTCCTTTTTATATAGTACGAAAATAATCGGATTCGTTTTATGCTTTTACATTTGATAAAATTGCTACCTAGACACATACAAGGCAACATTTTTTCAAATAATTCACCATTTGATTTGTAAGTAAAAAAATTAACTTATTTAAGCATGTAATAACAAATCTAAACATCACAAGGTTGAAAAGCAAAACTTAACCATATAAGTTGTACACGTAATGGTCAGATCACGTCGTGATTGAACATATAAATTTGAACAATGATTGGTTGGTCAGATCACGTCATGATTGAACATAAATTTGAACAATGATTGGTTCTTTACTCGAGTTAACAAGTTTCTCTATTGAATAATGCTATTTCGACTGTGTTATATTTACTAAATTGTTTACATGCATATAGTGCGATGAAATATAATTGAATCAAAATTTTGTTAACCAATTATTAAAAAAAAAAAAACAACTTTCCTCACTATTTTTTACACATCATCTATATGTAAATCATTATGTGATTCCATTGTTTATAAACAGCAATATTCATTCATGCTATTTACCCCCACTAGAAATTATCACCATTTGATGCTGCACTAAATTAACAGTCTCTCATGTTTATATATTTATTTGACTTTTTCATTCATAACGCATCACTTGTCATGTGGAGTAATTTCTAATGAAAATAAATAACATTATTTTTCTTTTTTCTCAGGCTTCATATCAAAATCCGAACCAATTTCTATTCTTGATTTGACTGATCGAACTTGTCAATCCACCGATATTACAACATTAGTTAGATATCAATTTACACAACTTAGTGTTTGTTTAGTAGGAATTTTGATAATTGATTTTTCGACCGTTAAAGATAAAATGATTTTTATCTGTGAGAGGAGAATTTAAAAATGACCGCTGAAATAGTGAAATAACGATAAAAAAATTGATTTTAATTGACTTAAAATCTATACCAAGTAAGCTCAGTAAGCTCTTAGAAAATTGAAAACTACTTACCTCTAGACCAATAAATTAAGGACTAATGGTGCAATTCTCTTGAAGTAAACTTGTACGAAAATGTTTAGAAAAGTCAACTGGTGGTTATGGTGTCAACAAAACTATAAGCAAAGCCACGGATTGCACACGCACGCTTTCTCCCTCCTGAAGACATATATTCGTGTTAGTGTTTCTGTATTGTGTAAATTTGGATAATTGAATCCAAATATAAGTTCTTTTTTTCTTTTAATTTTTGAAGAAGATGGGATTGAAGGAGACCTTTTATATCTCACATGGCTCGCCGACGCTGTCGATTGATGATTCGCTGCCGGCGAGGTCCTTCCTCCAGTCATTCCGGCAGAAGGTGTTCTCGGAGAAACCCAAATCTATATTGGTGATATCCGGCCATTGGGAGACCTCTGAGCCAACTGTCAACACCATCGCCGGCGTCAACAATATCATCTATGACTTCTACGGCTTCCCGGAGAAAATGTACAAGCTCAAGTATCCGGCTCCAGGATCGCCGGAATTGGCAGATAGAGTCAAAGAATTGCTCAAAGAATCAGGTTTTGTTAACAGCTTATTTTAAAATTTAAGCCCTTAAAGATGATCGACGTATATAGATTTAAATCAAGTCTTCTACGCGCATCTTTCAATTTTTTTTAATCAACGTTTAACGTATGCATAATTGAAATAGATGGATGAATGTGAGACTTGATCCAAAGTCCTTTGCCTGGCCCCAGTATTACATTAACATCTGGTCTGAAAGCTTAAAGAGAACAATGACATGTAATTGTCACGGTATAATAAAGTTGAGGTTTAAAGATAAATCCGAAGTCTTAGTACGGTATCAGAGCCCATTAGACCAAATGAGCAATTCGATTCGACTAAGACTCAAAAAATGAGCTCATGAATCAGCTCAAACGATTCAACATCTTGCGGAGCATGTTACGGGATAAAATCCCACGTCGAATAAAAATGAAAATATAAACAAACTTACAAGAGCTTGTGATACTCCTTTGAATAAAGTTAGACATTTTAAAATGGAATTCAAGTCTTAATAGTAATGATTTAAATCTTGCCTTTATCAGGTTTTAAGCGTGTGCACGAGGACAAGAAACGAGGATTGGATCATGGCGCGTGGGTGCCACTCATGCTCATGTACCCAGCAGCGGATATCCCAGTGTGCCAACTCTCCGTCCAAACTAACAGGGACGGGACTTATCATTATAATTTGGGGAAAGCATTGGCTCCCCTGAAAGAGGAGGGGGTGCTCATTGTTGGCTCAGGCGCCACCACCCACAATCTAAGTAGGCTGCGCCGTGGGGTTGGCCGAGGGGGCATTGATGATGGTTCTGTGGTCACTTGGGCTTCGGAGTTTGATAATTGGCTCAAAGAAGCTCTACTTGAAGGAAGATTTGAAGATGTTAATCACTATGAAGAAAAGGCACCATATGCTAAAGTAGCACACCCAAGCCCTGATCATTTCTATCCATTACATGTGGCAATGGGTGCTGCAGGTGAAAATGCTGAATCTGAACTTATTCACCATAGTTGGAGTTACGGTGCCCTCTCATATGCCTCTTACAAGTTCAAGGCAACAAGTGAATAGCAAATCACGGTATGTTTTCTAAGTTATACTTTGCCCGGGTTGAAAGAAAATAATTAGAATCTTCTGTTGTGCTGTTCACTCCAATCCTGTGAGCCAACATGCTATTACATAATTACATAATTCTGTTGATCCTTGGACATTATTGTATTTCACTTTTCACATTTGTTATGTTGGAAGAAAAGTTTAAAATCTAGTTGTATTGTGTAGACAGTCCTGTATATTAGACATGCTATTATTGAATTGTGTACTATTGTAATAAAAGTTAAAATTTGTGTCTGGCTGCCTGCAGTGAAGTTTGGTGTACCACACATGCTATTACAAAATTGAACTAGATGATCTTATTCGATTAAATGCCTAATGCTGGATATGCCATAAAAAGAAACGCTTTCATTTGTCAGCTTAAGGTTTGAGAGCATTGGTGGGTGACCATTTTTCCCTCCTCTTTTGCCATTCCTCTAATTTTTCCTTTTATGGGGGGAAAAAATGAAAAAGAAAATAAAGGAAGTGAGGGATTCTTTTTCATCTTATAGCCTCATTTTCTGTTTAGATTTGGATTAACTCCCCATTGGGAATATGTGATTACCAAAGGATGTTTGACATCACTCCAAAATCAAGATGATAAATGGAATGTACTTACGTTGACATCAAATGCATAAATCTAAAGCGCTATTGGGATTTAGAGCGTGTGAACCTAAAACTCTATTGGAATCTAGTCATTTAAGACTGCTCCACCACCAGTAAACAGGGAAGATGGGTGATCGAAAATGCTTCAATTCAAGTGTTGTTATAGATGGAGGGACATTATCCATCCTCATTTCTCTGTCTGACTCGGAATCTTTATCCTATGAATTTTGGCCTCTACATACCATGGCAATACATTACGTTATTTTGTTTGCTCGACAATGTTATGTTGATGTCGACTTGGGATGCTAGGTTGTACCTTCGGTTTTGAGATATATTGTGGAAAGGGGGGATTGCCCCATAATTCGATTATTTGGTCTTCTAGCTTTGTTGCTTTTCTTCTTCTGGATCAATTTTCTAACTGGGAGTTTCCTAAAGTTAAAGCTAAAAGGGATGTTTCAGATTTGAAAGAAGATAAAAATGGATTTTACTTCCAAGCTTTTCTAATTTCAGTTTCCAAATTGACTACTGTAAATAAAAAATTTGTATTACTATTACATTGCTTTTGAACATGCTGCACTTGCACAGAGAAAGAATGCTGAAAATCTCTTCTGTATATATCTAACGACTGTCCCAACAGGGAACCTAGGACCCGATATTTCAGTGTTCGGAAGGAATAAAACAAATGGTACCTTGTATCTTGAGTAATCAATTGAACATAGCGGAAATCAACTTGCCATGGCACCACCAGACTCAGAAGCTCCTTACAGTAATTCTTTCTGCTCAGTAGCAGCAGCACAAGACAGTCAAGAAAAGCACCAGGAACATGTGAACCTTCAAATTAAAATACAAAAACTTCTGATATCATGAACAATAACGGTTTTGATGATAAGAAACGGATTCACATGTTTGGCTGAGTTTAAAAGCTTATTATTAAGTTTCATTTTTGCCCAACATGCTTGAGGTATGTCAAAAGTTGCTACTATAAATGTTGAGGAAATTTAATCAATCATCACTGAACTTTAAAATTGTTAACACTCACTCAATCATCTTTGACGGGTTACCCATTGGTCACTCATCTTTCCAAATAATTATCCATCCACCACTCGTTAAACTTCTTTCTCTCCAAATAAACAGAAAATTACACGTGGATAACATTAATCAAACGTGGCAAACTTTCTCTGTTAAATCTTGACAACATGGAATTAAAACCACGACATTTCTTCTCTTAAAATCACGCCTTCTACCATTATTCACGACACTTCTGCCTTGGAAGAGAAAATTAAGAGAAAACCTATCTATTTCTTCAAAGTTCTCCCTGAAATCAAAGTATTAGGCTTGAGATTCTTCTCTTGTCAGCATAATGGAGGGCATAGGTGACCCACAAGGCCCTCATATGGACAATAATTGTTGGAAGATGCATTGTTGGAAGATGAGCAAGAAAGACCACAAGAAGGTAACTTTTTATACTATATTGTTGGAACATGCTTTGTTTCCTCATGGGCATTAAAAAAAAATGTTTATTTAAATGATTCTAAACTGAATGTTTTGAAATAGTCAATATTTTAATTAGAGTCACTGAAGCCCTATCCATACTTTTGTTGCAATACCTTAGGACGAATATGTATATACCAAACATTAACCCTGGTCTTTTTGCATTCTAGTGACGAACAATGAGAGTGAAGATTTGTTGCCAGTTGAGTGCCAGTTAAATGACTCAGAGGATGATGTGGACGATGGTGGTTTTCATTATCAGAGAAATGCATCGGAAAGAGTTGTGGTTGGTTTGAATGCAGACCTTGAATTTCAAACAGCTGGTGAAGATTATATCTCGGAATTGGATGATCCATATTATGCATATTCTGAAGAGGAGTTGTATACTGATCATTTTTCTAGTGAGGAAAATAATTATCGTTTCCCTACTTACAATGTTGAGATGGAGAAGTTTAATATACAACTAGAGGTTGAAAAAGAGTTCAAAAGCATAGATGAATTTAAGAAAGCAATTAGACATCATGAAGTAGTCACAAGGTGTAATTTGAAGTTTAAGGTAAATGATGATAAGAGAGCACAAGGAGTGTGCCAAAAAAAGGATTGTAAGTGGAAGATTTGGGCTTCATGAAATAACAAGAAAGGTTGCGTGCAAATTAAGACATTCATTTCGCAGTACACACGTATACGAGACAGAACAAATAGACATTGTATAGCTAAGTATATTGCTAAGAAGTAGAGGTAGGCAAAATCCAACCAACCCAAGAGAACTGCTCAACGCAACCTAACCCATCAGGTTTGGGTCGATTTTTTGCCACTTTTTTTGGTGGGTTTTGGGTCTCGGGTTGAGTTTTTGGGTCAGGTTTGGTCGGATTATGAGTTAACAATGAAAATTCGATATAACTCGACCCATCCCGATAACGTTAAAAAAATAAAAAATTAAAGAAAAGAAAAAGGGAAAATGACATAAAATGAAAAATAGAAGCCTTAAACGTTGTCTCACACTCTCACCACAACAGTCACAAACTTCTTCATTCACTCCCACCTCAAAGTTGCCGGCAACGAGCCCTAATTTGTCTCCCGTCATTTCTCTCAAATCTATGATGGCGATCTTCATTTTCCAGTTGCCGATCATTGGACGTCCGCACTTCAGTGCTATAGAGTAAGTTTATTTCCTTATTTTCTCACTTCCCAAGTCTCCCCTTCATTGATTGAGATTATTCTTTTTGAAGTGGAAATCTTTAGAAATCAAAGCATAGAATGATTTTGAAACACATTTAAAAGGCATCACAGTTCACAGATTTTAACAGAAGCCTCGAGATTTTCAATGGTGATATCTCGTGGGAAGTTGCTTACCATTGTTATATGTTCATCGGTTCTGTGGCAGAAGCCACCAAGAATTTTTGCTTTCTTGTAATTATGAGTCGGGAAAATTATTTAGAGAGTTTCTTTTTCGTTTTACAAACTGAAGAAAATTTTGTTGTTTCAGAAGAATTGAAATTCTATTCAGTGTAAAAGTCTTACTCCTTTAAGTTACAGCTAGTAAGGAAATTTTGGGGTATATTGACTAGTTAGGATAGGGAAAAAGATTTAATTATGGAGAAGTTGCCATAATCTGCAGCCAATAAATTGGAAAAATAATAAACTATCAACCAGAAGCAGAACCATGTAAATATACACCATTATAACCAACCTCTTGAAAACCTTGGGATTATTCACTACATATTAACTTTAGGCTTTTCTCACTAAATTTTTCTTATCGTGTTGGTACAGGTACTAATGCAGTTGAAGACATGTAGAAATTGGAGTCAGAATAACTTGCACTGTCATTTAAGTAATGGACTCCAGTACAATATTCTTCCTTCTTTGTAGTGCATTAATAATTGTAATTTAATAGATGTATTTTGGTGTATTAATATTTTTTGTCAAATATGTTGGTAGATATGGATGTACGGGAAGAACATGGAACACAAGCTCAATCAAATGACATAGTCACAGATCTGCAATCTGGTTTTCTTCCACGTGTACCGTCAACATTGGGTAAACGAAAATCTAATAGATTAGCTTCTTATGTTTGGGATCACTTCACTCTATTAGGCTCAAAGAATTATCCAGATGTTAGATGTAAGTGTAATTATTGTGGAGTAGATTATGCTTGTGGCACTAAGAAGTGTGGTATTAGTACATTGAGTAATCATTTGAATAATGAATGTAAGAAGTATCCAGATAGATTGATAGATAAGAAGCAGAAAACCTTATCATTTGAGAACAACAAAGAGGGTGGAGGGAGCAATCTTATTGTTGTTGGTCGAAGCAAGAAAGAGTGTATAGTTGCATGTGCTAAAATGATAGTTTTGGATGAATTACCTTTTAGATTTGTTGAAGCTCGTGGTTTTAGGCTCTTTTGTAGTGTAGCATGTCCTCAATTTCAGGCTTCATCTCGCAGGACTCTTGTTAGAGACATTTATCAATTGTATTTGGAGGAAAAACTGAAATTGAAAGATGCCTTTTCTTTTCACCGTCAAATGGTTTCCCTTACAACTGATACTTGGACTTCTATTCAAAATGTTAATTACACATCTCTTACAGCATAGTACATTGATTCTGATTGGACGCTTAATAAGCGTATTTTGAATTTTTGTGTCATTTCAAATCACAAGGGAGAAACTATTGGAAAAATGATTGAGACTTGTTTGCATAATTGGGGATTGAGAAAATTTTTTGCAATCACTGTTGATAATGCAAGCTTCAATGACACTACCATTTATTATCTTAAGCGAAATGTAGTTGCTTGGGATAGTAATAGATGTGTTCTAGATGGGACGTATTTGCACTTGCGACGTTGTGCACACATTATCAATTTGATCGTTGGTGAAAGGTTGAGGGAAGCACTTGACTCCATTGTGAATATTCGCAATGCAATCAAATATGTGAAATCTTCTCCTGTTAGGTATGAAAAATTGAAGTAGTATGCTAGGAAAGAGAAGATTGACTATAAGTCTATTATGTTTTTGGATGTTCCAACTAGTTGGAATTCTACCTATTTGATGTTGGAAAAGGCATTGAAATTTGAAAAAGCTTTCGATAGATTAGAAGAGGAGGGTTGCCACGCGTTTTATATAACGTGATTTTATACCGCAAGCACACGGTGTCAAGTTTTGTAGTATATAAAGAATTGAAAAGCGTCGAACTCACAGGGATTGATATTCGACTTCCACTGAGTACTATAATTGTGTCCACGTTTACTTTATCCAGACAATCGAGTGTTAAATTAATGTTTGAATACTAAACTAACGTCAATGAATTAAATAGTGCAATAAAAGTGAGGTAATTTCTAAAGACTAAATCAAAATTACGTAATGTCTAGGGAGTGATTTCACCGTATTCTCGATATAATTCTCAATCCCTATAGATATTTTCATCAACTATTTCCTGAATTCATAGGTAAGAATCCTAAATTAATTCTATTTCCCCCTCTCGAGCGTCAAATAGAACCTATCTCTATATTTTAACCCCAATATCTCTATTTCGAATTAAATATATAAAAATTATCACGCACTTGGTTCTTATTTTACTCTTAAAGATTCGTACTTTCTCTCGAAACCTACAAACCTAGATTATATTATTCTTAGATTACGCCTAAATTTCTCTCTCTCGAGCGTCAAATTTAGAACATCAATTCATTCAATTGGTGATCAGGCAACTGAAAGAATTAAACAAGAACAATACAAATCAATTCTGAAAAATTAAATGGAAATATTATAAAGAAATTAAATTATGTCTCAAATAGGTTACATCAAACTCTAGATTTAATAGTTTGATTCATGATTGAGAAGAAAAACACAATGAAATACAAACTAGAGTGCATGTATAAGAGAAAGATAGAAAAAAACTCAAGTTGCTGCTCTATTTCTCAATCTTGTTGCTCGATTTCTCAGTTTTCTCCCTTCTTCTTCTCCAAAATCGGGTCGATCTTCTCTCAATTGATACCTCTTTTTTTCTTGCGTCTTCAGCCATCTAACCCCCATCTCTTGTTCTTCATCTTGGTATTTATATTTTCTAAGAGTCCTCAAGGGTTAGGGTATGATTTTTGGGCCGAAAAGATAATTAAAAATTCGGGTTTTAACATTTTGGGATTTAGCGCCACGACGCCCAAGCATGGCGCCATGGCGCTGCGATTATCATGGTAACTGGCACCATGGTGCCCAGGTCTGGTGCCGTGGCGCCTAAGTTTCTGCTTCCTTCTTGTCCTCATTGGGCACCATGGCGCCCAGGTCTAGCGCCGTGTCGCCTAAGTTTCTGCTTGAATTCATCGCTTTGGAGGCGCCATGGCGTCTCTTTTTCTGCGCCGTGGCGCCAATGCCACTGCTTTGCTTCTCTTCACTTTATTTTTCAAGCCTATTTTCCACTCCAATCTTATTCAATACTTGCTTATTCATGCTCCATTTCATTGATCATCATTTTTGCTCATCACCGGCTCCTAATAGTGGTATTTTCTCGAGAGTTGTCTAAACTGCAAAACAACACGAACACACACATCAAAACGTTCAAAAATGCTCAAGAACACATCAAAAAATGTGATTTAGGAGCTTTAGTTTAATGAGTGAATTACACTCATCAAGGGTGTTCAGTATTTGCATTACTTTCAGGAAGATGATAGTAGTAGAAGGAGGGGTGGACCTCCGTCAAGTTTAGATTGGAAAAGTGCATCTGTGTTTGTTAAATTTCTTCAAAATTTCCTTAATGTGACTTCGACTTTTAGTGCTTCATTGCATATTAGTACTTATGCTTATCTTCATGAAATTTGTAATCTTGTAATCGAATTGGATGAATGGAGATTAAGTGGAAACTTTTTGTTGGATGAAATGACGACTAACATGAAAAAGAAGTTTGATAAGCATTGGGGTAAAATGGGAAATGTGAATCAATTGTTGTTTTTTGCTGCTATCCTCGATCTAAGATAGTGATACAAAATGGATTATGTTGAATATTGTTTGAATGATCTATATATGGATGGGGGAAGTTGTTAGTAACATGATGAAGTCTTTGAAAGCCATTTTGATGGATATTTATAAGTGTTATGTGGGTCATGAAAATATTGATGGAAGTAGTAAAGTGTCAACTGAGGAGTTTTTAAATTCTTTTAATACATATAAAGGATGTTCTTCTTCTAAGAGTGATGCTCATCTTAGTAGATTTATGGAAAAACAAGCACGGAAGGATTCGGTTGAAATAAAAAAAAATGATGTGGAATGATACTTATTGGATGCTCATGAAAGCATAGAGAAAAAAGATTTTGAAGTTCTAGATTGGTGGAAGGTTAACAACAATAAGTATGGTGTCTTGTCCAATTCGGCCAAAGATGTGTTGGCAATTCAAGTTTTAACTGTTGCTTTAGAAAGTTCATTTAGTACTGGAGGAAGGATACTTGATCCTTTCCGTAGTTCCTTAAGTCCTAGGATGGTTGACGTCTTAGTATGCACTCAAAATTGGTTGAAAACTTCTCCGAACTTGGATGGTTTTTGCATAGAAGATGTTAAGCATTACAACCAAATGGATGAACTTTTAGAATCAATGAATTCAAAATCAATTAAAGATGACCAAGCTTAAAGAATGTAAGTTTCTAGAGCTCAAATATTGGAGAATTTCTTTTGCTATATTTTAACATAATTGTGATCACTAAATATGCAATTACATATTTGAAATGCTCAACTATGTTTGAAGGATATTTCAGCTAAATCTTTCCTACACTTTGGTGAGATGGATGCGGTGTTGAATCTGATTTTGTAGAGAAAATCAATTTTTTGCTAGACTAAAAGTGTAAGTAATCCCTATTCTTGTGTATAGAATAGTGTATTTAGTTGTCAACACTGAATGAATAAGCGATAGTTTTATCTGATTACGACAAATATATCTTGGAAAATTCCAATTGATAGATTTGGAAATTTTGATATGATATATAAATTTATGGATAAGCGCTGGAGAATTATCAGATGGATTGCTCTTGGTGCTGTTACATTGGAGGTAAGAGTATGTATTTTACTTTGTTATTGTAATCAACATTAATTTATTGTGGTCACTTACTATTGCCATGGGCCATGGCATATTAACATATTTTTTTTCATGAATCATGCAAAAATGTCAAATTTGTTGCAATCAAACCAGTCACAATTCAAATTCAGAGCTATTTCAGTGTTTGCAGTAAAAAAAAAATGAAAGAAAAGATCTATATAATAAATAAAAGGTATCTCCATTTCAGCAATATGTATAAAAGGTAAAAATCAGATTGACCATAATTCACACAAGAATTTGACAGGAAAGGAGCAACAGGAGAAATTTATTTGCATTTGTTTCTTCCTATCTTTTTGTTGATTCATTCATGTATTTTTTTGTTGGGATTTGTTTGGAGATTGAAGAAAGTTTTCATTGTTGCTGACTTGCTGGCATTTCCTGGATTACTTTTGAGATGCAAAGTTTTTGATGAATCATTGTGATTATGTAGTTGCCACAAGTTTACTATATTAATTTCCAAGTGTTCTGACAATGGATGACTGTATTAATTGTATTTGAGTGAACACTTAAAACGTCCTCAGTAGATGAAGTTTTTATGCATATATATATAGTGGGGGATCATCTTGTATACGTACAAATTCGTTGGATAATGCATCTTATTCCCATGTAGATATCTTTGATAAATTCAGTGTTTGCAGTTTCAATCTAAATCTTATACAGCAGTTCCACAGACATAACTGATTAAAACACGTCCATATGAAAATCCAACGCGCACATTTTTAATTATCATTAATTTTATTTTATATCCATTGAAACTATATGAAATGAATTCTCAAAGATGGAAAAATTCGCACAAAAAGGCATATCTATCAATAAAAATACAACTGAAACAAACTCCAAACTGAAATATTAACTCCAGACTCCAACATTTAGGCATTTGAAAATTAAGATTATTTAAATCCTTAAAGCCTCTTTGCTATATCCTAGTTGACTTCCTGGTTCTGGGTTTTATGATGATATATGAGATTTTCATGGCATCTTTACTTCCATGGCTGTCACATTTGCAGTTGTTTCTGTGTAAAGCGAAACTCTAAAGCATATCCCATTGGCCTCTATCGGGAATAGCACCTCCAGAAGAAGACAGGGTGTGGCCCTTATTAGACCATGTATTAAATATTAATCGTATTTCAGTTATTTGGATGACGTGTTGGTTTTGTTTGAATATATGATACTAAATTATACTTTGCCCAAACCGACTAACCTAATCCAACTCGATCGACATTTGATTGGGTCGGTTTTAACATTTACACGGGTTGGGTTAGTTTGATTTTAGATCAAACCAACCATGTTGGGTTGGGTTGGGTTGGGTTGGGTTTGGTTTGGGGCAAAAACTGACGCAACCCAACCTACGCCTACCTCTACTAAGAAGTACTTGGAGATTTTCAAGGTTGCCCCTAATTGGAAGTCAGAACTTATTATTAAGGCTGTGAGAGGTGACTTGAAATTACTAATCAATAGAGTTACTGCATGGTAGGCTTGAAGACATGCGTGGATATTAATTTAGGGTTCTAATGAACACCAGTTTGGCCTTCTTTGGTGTTTTGCTCATGAGACTTTCAGAAGCAATCCAGGATCCACATGTATAGTTACCACACATAAGTCGAAGTTTCAAGGGATTTATATATGTTTAGAAGCTTGCAAGAGAGGTTTTATAAGTGGTTGTAGGCAACTTTTAGGCTTAGATGCGTGTTTTTTGAAAGGAAATTTTGGCGGACAAATGCTTATTACAATAGCACTAGATGCTAATGATTGTATTTACCTAATAACGTACATAATAGTGGAGACTGAGGCTGCTAGAAGTTGGAGATGGTTCGTTAGTCATTTGGGTGAAGATTTAAAGATTGTAAATAACAATGAATGGACTTTCATGACTAATATGCAGAAGGGACTACAAAAGGTTATTAAGGATTTGTACCCTAATGCTAAACATAGGTTTTGTGTGAGGCACATGTATACAATTTTTTTGGGGGCTGATTTTAAGAGTTTGGCATTTAAAGGCTACTTATGGAAAGCTGCAAAGTCAACTACTGTACTTGATTGAAAGTTTTGGATGGATGAACTTGCGAAGGAGAGTGCGGATACATATGAGTGGTTAATGAAAAAGGATCCATGTGAATGGAGTAAGTCTCATTTCTCAACTAAGGTAAAGAGTGATATAGTGCATAAAAATTTATGTGAAGTTTTCAACAATGTAGTGTTAGAGGATAGGGAGAAATCAATCTTGACTTTGTTAATTGACATGTATATTAGCTGCATGAAGAGGATACAATCAAGGAGGGATAAGATGAGAAGAGCCAGAGGACCTTTGTGTCCTAAGATCCTACAAAAATTAGTTAAATCTATGGAATTCGCTGAGGAGTGTGAAGTAGAGTGGTCTGGGAGCCCACAGTTCTATGTGAAATGTCCTACTGGGGGAATATGTGGTTGATTTGTCAAACAAGACACGTGCATGTAGAAGATGTGATTTGACTGGGATTCCATGTGGGCATGGGGTTGCTGTAATACTAGATAGAGGGGATAATCATACAAAGTATGTGCATGAGTGCTAAACCATGCAAACCTATCTACAGTTCTATGAAAACATTGTTAATCCTATTAACGGCAAGAAATTGTGGCCTAAAGTGAATACTCTCCCTTTACAACCATCGGGTTGGGTTGTGGCAAAAAGAGGAAGGAAGCAGAAAAAGCGAAGAAAGCAGCAAGAGAAAGATGTAATCACTCATTCTGGTATCGCATCAAGAATAAAGAAAAAATGCACAGTGAAGATGACTTTTAGTGTATGTGGTTTAACTGGTCACAACAAGTATTACCATGATAGGGTACATGCACCAAATGAGGTTTTTGTCTTGTTTTTTCTATGAAATTAGCATGTTCAAAAGTTATATAGTTGAAACTAAGTTTTTAACTATGTTTCTTGATTTTAGGATTGGAATGGAAATGATCTCAATTATATAAATCAAGATAGATTTGGCCAAGTTGAAAGTTAAAGTTCAAGGGTAATTTTCTTGGTTTGGTTAATCTATGATTTCCATTGATTTTTCATTAGATTGAGTCTTAACCACTTTTTTTCAAACATAGTCCAAGCTGATACCTCGAAGAGCAAACGAGAATTCAACAAATGAAGTGTAACAAATTCCTTTAACAGATGGATACATTTTCATGCCCACACTGAGTCTTGGGATTACGAGTGATGCACAATCTTACAACAATGGTCCTTTTCCTACTGCAGTAAGGCAAACTGAAAATATTCCACTAACCAACATGGTTGACGATTTTTTGGTCTTACAAGCCCAAGAAAACGCAAGAAAGAGGGCTGATCGTGTAAAGCACACAGAAATGGTCAGAGGATCAGTTTCTTTTGCACATTCAATGATAAGGAAGAGTAGAGCAACTCAGTAGAACTTATTTTTGATTGGCAACCTATGTTCTTTATGGCTGTACTTAGGGTCATCATGAAAGTTTTTGACAGTATACTATTTTTTGCGGTTGTCATGAAAGTTTTTTACAGTGGACTATTTTTTGAAATGTAGTTTAACCATCATGGATTGATGTTTTTTGAATGAATGATTATATTCTAGCAATTTACTAGTTTATATTCAAAGCTGGTTCTAGGTGTTGTTGCACTTGAATTCTGGTGCTGGTGCTGGTGCATCAGTACCTGATTGTCAATATCACCTTAGCTGATCCTCAGGTTGGTGCATTAGCTAATGATTCTGGTGCATCAGCTAATGCACCTGATTTTGGCTGATGCACAATTTGATGCACGGTTGAGTTCACTTGAAGAAGATTGTCATTTGTAATTCAACGCTGCATCTCTTTCAGGGTTGAATTCAAATTTTAATTCTAGTCTAAGTCATGGAAATAAAATTCATGATGCAATAAGAGTTAATGGTAATGCAGAAATTGTACCATATGAGGCATTTCCTAGTTTTAGAGATGTCACAAAAAACTTGAAAAAAAAAAAAAAAAAGACATCTAGCGGCAGACATTGGTGGAGCTTGTTGACTGGTGCATTACAATTTGGTGCATCACATTTATGATGCACAATCTGGTGAAAAACAAAGTCTCTACTCAGCCTCGTGAAAAACAAAGTCTCAGTATTATGCACAATCTGGTGCGTTACAATAATTCAATTTAATCCGGTGCATCAATTTATGCACCTTAATCAATCCTAGTTTTCAACAACCACAAGTAACTTTTACTTCACAAACAATACTGCCAACTATGAAAACTATCAACTCAGCTACAAACACGAAAATAACCAAGTGACAAGGTGATTAATTCATCCAACAATACAAAGTAGATAAAGCCAAGTCACATCTATTACAACCAACTACAAATACGCAATACAACAAATGAGCTATTCAACATATTCTGAATAATACAAACTTCATAAGCTAAGTTACAACTATTACAATCAACGTCAGTATTCAGATATTTATAATGCTTTCACTTCTCTTGAATGGTGTAAAGTTGCTGGATATTTACAATGCTTTCACTTCTGAGATCTTTGACTCAACCAAGGCCACCTTTTTCTTCAAAATCGATTGGCAACAAATATTGGTAAACTGTATACTTGGACTTAATACCGATAGATGTACAGGCAGATCATTGCCAATGAGGATAGTGATACCAGTAGAAGCACAGACAGAAGCAAAAGTTACAGTTGAAGTAACCCCATCACCAATGGTGAATAAACTGGCAAATCCAACATCTAAAACTTCCTTAAACTGAAAGGAAATATATTTATATGTCAGCAATTGCAAGTTACATGCTCCAAAAACTTTGCAAACCAATTGCAGCAACAAAGCAAAATGCAATTATAGGGAGAGGGGGAGAAAGTGAGAGAGTGGATTTGTTCAAGGAAGGTGATGGCTAGGGCAGCGTCATGAGGAAGGGGTGGATGAGAGAGCGATGTAGATTGTGGTGGAATGGAGGAGGGAGAGTGTAGGTAATAGAGAGTGATTGTGATGGTGGCGACAACAAGACCGACGAGCGGAGGCTGTGGTAAATTTTGGTCGGTGTGGACAGTAGCCATTTTTAGGATCAATGGTTTTCTTCTTAAGTCTCCTTGCCCGATTTTCCGCCATGAAAATTTGACCTCTAAGCCTTTTGCAGGTCTATATAGATTCAGATATAGAGAGGTAAGGGGAGGGTTAGGTGAGGTGGAATGGAGTGGAGCTTCTTGCTAATTGGAATTCCTTGTTTGGGGATGGGAATTAGGGCTTCCAATTGGAGATTCTAATTTTGGGAATTCGATTTCAGGAAGAGAAGTGTGTTTGTGGGAGCATTTTCGATGACATGGACATGGTTAACGCTGTTAGCATGCCACGTAGGATTGACATTTGCCACGTGCAATTTTCCATCCACAATTTGAAAAAACTGGTTGATTGATGATGGATGAGTAATTATATGAAAATGTGAGTGGCCAATGGCTAACTCGTCAAAGATGAGTGAGTAAGTGGTAACAATTTTGAAGTTCAATGATGATTGATTAAATTTACTCTAAATGTTTAAAACGCAAACTTGTGTTTTTTCTTTTTTTGATAATACATCTCAAATTTAACTCTTTTTTTTTTTTTTTTCCAAACATGTTTGAAGTTTTCAAAAGTTGATTTTCCCTTTTTTTTTTTTTTTTTTTTTAAAATTAATTCAAAATTTAACTTTTTTTTTTTTTTTTTGCCAAACATGTTTGAGGTTTTCAAAAGTTGATTTTCCCTTTTTTTTTTTTTTTTTTTTTAAAATTAATTCAAAATTTAACTTTTTTTTTTTTTTTTTGCCAAACATGTTTGAGGTTTTCAAAAGTTGATTTTCCCTTTTTTTTTTTTTGGATTTTTCGTACAAAAATTTGCCTTTTTATGATGTCAAAAAAAGGTAAGTTCATTTTATTTTTCTAAGCTTGGCCAAACCTGGTGAAACGAACGAAGAGATGAAGATTGTTGCTAGAAGTCTAGAATGTATCTGAACGGCTATCTCAACATCTCCATCAAGAATTGATCCAAGCGCAAACTTTATTTTTAACCGATGATCTGTTGTCCTGAATTGAATGAATAATCTTCTGGAGCTAAAATCTTCTTCTTTAAGAAAAGAAATACGACCATCCTATCTATAGAAATATTCCTTCAGATCTGTGATTTCCCTTAGGTTTAACTTCGTTGGCAATAAAACCAGACCAGCGAGATATTGAAATTTCAAAGGCAAGTGTTTCTGGAGAGTGACATCAAGGAGTTGCTATAAGATTTCCAAACCATACTTTCTGGAAAACACGGCTTTTCCACAGTTCCCCATTTCTAAAATGAATGGAAGAAGCCGAGCATTGCAAGCTCAGGCACTAAAAGAAGGCATCATATTTGTTATGTCCTAATCTTTCCTGCACTAGCACCAGAGCCCACCCGCCATTTTGCACTTACCAGGAATCTGATTAGGAAAACATATTATGAAACACTTAACATGTAAATTCCATGTCGCTAGCCTGAAATGTCGAAGAAATCTGATTATAAACCACATGCACGAAGCTAACAAATCCCTCGGAGGAAACAGTTGTCAAATTAATGACTAGTACCACAATCTAAGAAAGAAAAATAGAATGAAGATGAAGCAAGATATGACGCTACAAGGATACTTGGACGTCAGTCTATCAAAATACTTCTTCCAAAGTAGGTACTACATTATATCAATCTTGCCGCTTGAATCAAAATGTTGACAATATTCTTCTTGAACAGAATAGACACGAATTGAAACACTCGAATGAAATTCTATTCTGAAAATAATTCGAACAAAATTTTATTTCAACAAAATAAAAAGAAAAGAATTTGAAGAGAGAAGAAAATTAGATATCAATTACACTTATTAAATTAATTTGATGTAGGAAAAATGGAACTGAGGTCCCTATTAATAAATTTTTAAGTGACTTTTCAAAATGTTTCAGCTTTTAACATAAATCACATCTTTTCGTATTTATGGTATAGAAAGAGATTAATTGCAATTAAATCCATGATATTTGCTGATATCTTAGATACTCTAGGTGCTCCCTCATTTTCATTTCGTACCTAAAACAACATTAGAAATTAAGGCTATAATGATCATCTGCCAACTTCTGGATGGATTGTTGAGTAACAAAATATGATTTCACACATTTTACATAGTGATACGAGTGAAACTAATACAGAAACGAATTAAAACATACTATAGGAAGAAGCAAATTTTAAGAAACTCGATGTGATGATTTTTCACACGAAGAGTTTTACACGGAAAAATTGCTTATCTGGGAGACAATTAATATTGCTGCTAAAGGGGAAAGATTCTGCACCTCTGATGACTGATCGAACCCAACGAGTCATTTTCAAGTAGTAAGTATAAACTTTTCGTTGTCTAACCAAATCCGTATAGAAAAATAAATATGGCATAAAGTATCGTGAAAGAGACCTAATTGTCTTATGTTAACAACTTCACTGGGGAAGAACTACGTTTAAATTTTTTTTATTCCATCTATTCAGGTGCCAAAAATTAAAAAATGCTTGTTAATTAATATACTTAATTGAATATAAAATATTCAAACAACACGAAAGAAAGACTATTTACATTCCTTGTATTTTTCTATTTGAATTTTAATTTCATTTTTGGAATAAATAAGAAACTATCGTTCTTCTTTAGTTCAGGTAGTGGGACTATGTCACATGTGAAAGCCATCCTAAAATTGGATTATGCATGTAAAAACAAAAGCCAAGAAATCAGAAGAATTTAGTGAAAGAAAAATGCCATGTCAATGAGAATGCATGCTATACAGATTTCAGCAACTCTATAGGTAATATTTTAGCAAGTAATTCAATTTAGACCAAAAGTAATATAGAAAGACAACAAATTTCACCATTAATTTTTTACTACTACTGTACTAGGTGTTGAAATGTTGAATGTGCCTATCTAATTTGTGTTTACTACTGACCAGATAACTTGGTAATTAAATAAAGGCGTATTTCTGCAAATGTGTTTTTGGGCTTCAAGTAGGCTATATGTACAGAAGGAGGGATTATAGAATCCCTCCAGGCAAGAGACACAGTCGGGGGTGGGTTTTTTTTTTTTAACCCTATTTTATTCAAATGGAGCCCACCCCATGTTAGACTTCTGTAATGTTTCTGTGAGACCTATTTCTATACAAATGAATTTTCTCTTTTGGGCTTATTGTTTGATGCAATTTAGCCTTGCATGTAGCACGTTTATGGGCATTGAATATGTGCTTTTCTGGGTCATATAAATAGCCTCTTTTGGCCATTTACACATAAATTTGTTTGGAATTTTGTTGTTTTACCGGGCCCTACCGACACTCACACTAGTTGAGGCCCCATAGACCCACCCATACAAAAATTACCCAAAAAACTCACCCACACTCCTGTTGGGAGTATTCGGTAGGGGTAACCCCTACCTTGTACCCCAAGCCTTGTTCATTTGTTTTGGGGGTTGCAGTTTAGGGTTTTCGTCTCTTTTGTTGTATTGAGTGTATATTTTGATTTTGAAGTGGAGATTTACTATGGTAAACTTATCTTGCCAGAGAAATACTTGAACAAATCCCATACATTTTTGCAAACTGATCTTGGCTTGATTTAAGTGATTTGGAGCAATAACTAAGTAGTCGATGCTCAATGCGGGGTGAGTAGCATTTAGAGTACGTGAAATTCTAGACTCATTAGTGGGTGAAAAATTTCATTGTATTCCATTTTTTACTTTCTACAATTTTAATATTGCTTGCAAATGGAGCTTGATGGATTTTCTATGAACGGTACCTCAAGCTATACCACTGTAGCAGTCACAATCCCACATTTATTAGTAAAAGGATCCACTCTCAATTGGTATGAGACTTTTTGGTCGAAAGCAGGGTGGAGTGAGCACTCAGTGAGCCATGGCGACCACCCATGCTAACTCCGTCGGAATTTTTCCCACATATATTGGGCAGCCCCTTACCTGGATCCATCCTTACTCACTCTAATTGCTAGATTCACCATTGATTGAAAGTCAATAACAAAATTGTGCACACTAGGCCCAAAGCTGACAATATCATGTCAAGTGGAGTGGGATGTTACGTGGTATCACAACAAGAGTTTACACGACTCTCTTCTAGTCCTGTATAGTGTAGATTAAAGTTATATTTTTAATATATTTTGATAAAAGTTGATGAATGTAGTTGCAAGGTTGTGAGAACCATAAAATATGGAGATAAAGTTAATTGTTAACTTTAACTTTTGTGTGTGTATATTATACAATATTACACAATACCCTTACTGAAGAGCCACTAATGTTTTGTTTTGCAGTTGAAAGTTTGCTTCTCTATTCAGCCTTTTCCCTAAAATGGGTAGGTATAAAATAAAAATGCCAAATCATATTTGAAAAACAAAGGAAAAGTAAGTACTACTTTGTCACACTAAAATAAAATGAAGACAGATACATAACACAAGGTTGAACATAGAGTAGTCAATTGAGCATGATGCAGAAAAGCGTCTCAATTACATCTAATAGCAACTTTTCTCGTACAGTTTTTCTACTTAAATTTACCCGCTTCTTTCTCCCTATTACCGTATAACTACTATGTAATAATCAAGAAGCTAAAGCCATATGGCTTTAGCCTTCTTGAGCAAGGGGACCAGTTTGCCCTGAACGTGAAGACTCATAATCTCATTGGACCCTCCAATCAATTCTTGTCCAATGAACACAGTTGGTACAGTTGGCCTTCGTCCGGACGCCTGCAGTGCCCTTTCTAGTTGCTCTCCACTGGGAAGCTCATCCAGTTCATAAACCGTAGGGTTTGCACCAAAACTGCTTATAAGTGTTGTTATAGAGTGGCACATACAACAAGAGCTTTTGCTGAATATCACCACTGGCTTGTCTGTTGTCAGTCCCATTACTGAATCCATTACTTGACCTTGAAAGTATCCGAAAAACTTAAAAAGGACGAAAACCAATGAGAAATATTTGCGAATTTAAGAAAGACGTTTGATATGCAAGAGTACAAGACCAAGAGACCTGTACTTGTTTAGGGTTGTTGCTGAGAAACTCTATCACTCATGGAGTTTATATACTAGAGAAGGTGGTGGATTTGAAGTTAATTGCCAACAAAAAAAGGTGCAATAAATCCAAGAGAATTTTTTGTGAAGATATTTCTTAGATTCCCATGTGTTTCACTGCTTATCATGGACAAGTTGCATTCCATATCACAAGATTTATGATATGGAAGAATGTAAAAGGCTGCCATGCACATTCTACAACAAGTGGAGTCTCGTTTAATGAATTTGGGTTGACTATATGAATCATTTTATTACTCATGAATCACTGCTTCTGAACACTTAAACTGTTATAGAAAAGATATGTATTTATTTAAATTGTGTATTTAACATGCCTCTAGATTCATTATTTCATCAGAGTCACGTACACAATTTTGATGATTGGCCAGCTACGTGATATCTTATTTTGTCTATTATGTAATAAATCGTCTCATTTAAAAGTTTAGTTGTTAAAAGACTGACAGCAACAATGTAACAAGACTTATGCCTACTTTCACGAAAAAATTGAGATTGGTTATATGAATTTTTTTTACTTTTTTTTTTTTTCATAATTCCGTTCATTCTTTAAATTAATAAGAGATTTAACGTTAAGCAATCGATTTGTATCGTAATCACAATTTTTAAATGAACAATCAGACAAGGGTTCTCATTGACTTCATTCTAAAACATAGGCTGATATGTAAAAATTTGTTTAGTGTTATCCAGTTGGTGGTGACCTTTTTCTGCCCGTACATGATTCTCTCTGTGTCAACAAGTAAAAGACTGAATAAATTAATTTTAATTTTTAATAAATTTATAGTTTATCATATTAAAATTCTTTCTATCACACATTTTAATCTATCGTCAATCGGGATAAATATGATAATGACATCCGTACGAGAAGAAGAATATGCCTTAACGTCGACATGCCAAACAATTATCCATGTCTCAAGATTTCCCCCACTAAGAAAATTCTGATTATGATTTAATACAATAAAAAATTAGAAAAAAACACTATTATATATCCTTATCATATATAATGTCCGTTATTTATTGTAAAAGGTTCGGATTTAAGCATCAAATATTAATGTCCGTTATTTATTGTAAAGTCGGTTATGTTATATATTAACACTTTAAGTAATCACACTCTTAACAATTTTGGATAATTAAGATTCTTTATTATTACGGAGATGCCACGTTGAAGAATTATTTAGCCTATAAACAAAGCAAATTGAAAAAAAAACTAAGTCACAAAATATCTTAGGGATTATTAAATAAATTTGATTTGATTTTCATTATGCGTGGAGAAGGATAGTATATATTTGAGTAATGGTATTTGGACATAATTGTGTATAGATTGATGTCATGGCAAATAAAAAGAAGCCAGTTAATATAATACACATCATCAATATGTACAAGTAGTGTTACTCATAGATGTTTATCACGATAAGATTATTTTGTGAATGATAATGTTCTAACTTTTATAAATTATCAATTTATTTATTTATTTATGTTAAATCGCCAGCAATTGAAATAATAGATACGCCCTTAATCTCCATATATAAAATGGATAAAGAGATGAGTACAAACACATTTTGTAAAAATGTGTTACACATTCTCACAAAAAGCGGGTCCCGAGTGAATTTAAAAAAGGTTGGCTTGCGGTCGCCACCTTCTATTGTGAGCAGTGAGTAAAGAGTTTTGTAAAAAAAGTTTGTACACGTAGTATGATCCATATAAAATTGTGTTCATTATATTTATTTTAGGGAAAATTGCAATAGCGGTCCCTAACCTTTTTATTTTTTGCAGGCTTTTCTCTAAACTACATTTTGTGTTAACGGAGGTTCCTAACCTTTTGTAAATATGCACTCGAAGCCCATTTGGATGAAAACCGTTCAAAACACCATAAGTTGACCAGGAAAATTAAAGAATCAACATCCAATAACGTTGTCCAAAACACTATCCAAAAATGTATTAATATCCAATAAAACCATTGCGATAGCAAATAGTTCAAGGAATTTTTCCGATCAATTGACGATGTTTTAGACAGTTTCCATCCAAATGGATCTCAGATGCATATTTATGAAATGTTAGGGATTTCATTGGCACAAAATGAAGGTTAAAGTAAAATTTACAAAAAAACGAAAAGGTTAGAAACCGTTACTGCAATTTTCCCTTTATTTTATGCACGTTTCATGTTTTTATCTACTAGAGGTAAGGCATGTTGTCTCTCTACTAAGCTCTCTATAGTGTACTTTACGTTTTTAATAAATTAGAGTCATGATAATCTCTTCGTTATTTTTCGAATCACTTTTGTACATCATTTTGCTATAATTCTCAAGAACCATTGGTCCTAGGGTGATTAGAAAATTCCTAACACAAATTATGTTCAGTAAAAATTGCAAAATCGATCATTAAATTTATAGGAAGATTGAAGCTAAAAAGGAAAAAACAATTTCCATATTGTAGTAGAGAGGCACGTTACAATTTTGAGCATTATATCGCCAACTCTATCTTGGATATCCAAGAACCATTTTTTCTTTTTGTCTAGTGATAAACTTTAAAATTATGCGTATATTTGCAAATAGGGGAATATTATTATCCATTTTTCTGGTGTCAAATATTGCCACGTTCATTCACCCTTAGAACAACAAAATAGTTGCAACTTTACTAAACTGGCTCAAGAAATCCTAAAGGGTCACTTCATTTTTCTTTGACTCTTGAGAAATATTTTATATGTAATTGAAAGAATTTAAACAATACCACAGAATATTGTCAAGTACTATAAAATCTTGGGATGAACATAGACGATTTAAAGTCGTCTTCTTAATACCACCGAGATATGTTTGATATGTATAATTTAAGGCATGTTTGATGTTGATTATGAGAATCGATTTTTTGACCGTTAGTTTGAAATGTGGGTTCCACGTGTAAGGGAAGAAGTCAAAAATAACGCTGACTATGGTAAGTAACGGTAAAAAAAATTTGATATTTTGACTTGAAAAATCATAACTAAACGGGGGCTTAATAAAACACCACCGTTCGATTTTGTGCAATTTACTTAATTTAAGGTCGAATCTCTTACTCATAAACACATCATGTGTCCAAGTGCAAATCAATTGCATGCATGTTTTGTGAGGGGAAAAATGATGCCTAATCTCATGCATGATTCCTTAGTTCTATTGAAATGCCAATTTATGAAATTTAAATTATTTAGTTTGAAACATTGTTAATTAGATAACAATCTTAATAAGAATTCATCCATCAGTGGAAATTTCAAATGTGAATTCATGTATTTTGCAGGTTTTCAACCAATTATTACTAGAGTTTCTAAAATAAATCTAAAGGTTAACCTCATTAAGATTCGATAGCACAAAGATTAGTTAATTCAATAAGAAATGGGAGTTAGCACTCAATTTCCTTGGTACCATTCAATTGAATCCAATTCAATTGTTTATTTATTCATCCACTTGAAACTTTGAAGTACATAATCCATTTCCTTATATATGATTATAGTTTTCATATTTCAATGATGTGTGATTAAAACCTTAAAATATTTTTGAAAGACGATGACTCATTTTAGATTACTAATTTTGTAAAGTTGACAATGACGTAGTTTTCTTCATGTCTCAAAATTAGGGCCTGATACAAGCCAATTCCATGGAATTTTTTTTTTCACCCAAATGTCTTATTTGATAGACAAATTTTTCCATGGAATTGGTTTTCCAATTAACCCCTCACGTGATGCCATTTTCTAGGTTTTGAAGGAATTGATTTTCCTCTTATTTTGGTGGGAATTGGGTTTTCCACCTTTTTTTTTTATTTTTTATTTTGGCCATGGAAACAAATTCTATCTACAATTATAACAAATTTTGTCCTTTAATTGACATTTTTCATGAAAAAACAAAGTCAAACGAATACCAAAAGATTCAAAATTTCAACTTTTTTCAGGTGAAAAATTATACTAATTAAATATATTTAATTGACAATTATCAGTAAAACAAGTTCTAAACAATTCAATTCCCTTAAATTTGTTTTCTTTCCACTCAAATTTCATTCTTACAATCAAATAGGCTCTTAGTCTTTTAAAGCTACGATATATTACTTTTAAAATCTTACGAATTTATAACAAAACTTGAAACATAAATACGTTGACCACCAAGTCATCTAGAATTTGGTTTATATTTATTAAAAATACATAATATATTCAAACTTAAAAATCCATACCTTGCAACATCAAGCTCCAATGGAAAATTTGAAAGTGGAAATTACATAATTCCAGGTCTTTGAAGACCATAGTTCAAAAATCAGAAACCAAATTTCATTGTTCAAAAATCAGGTTTTGATATAATAATTAAATATTAAATATTCAAATTTAATTCCCCAACCCTAATATTTTCATCACTCTTCATTCGCTTACTAATCTCTTTTCTCTCTCTCTCTCTCTCTCTCTCTCCATGGCCTCCAATCGCCATTCATCACCGGTCGCCACAGCAGTCAGTAAAACCTCCTCTCCAGTGCGGTCGCCTCCTTCTCTTGGACTCACGAATGAGAGTGCCGTGGTAATTCTTCTATCGCTGTGAGTGCCGTTGCGATATTCAGCAGTGGCGATGTTGGATGCGGTGGGTTGGGGCTCTGTGGTGGTGATGCCTGCTGCTGATTTAGGGACCGTTGTTAAGGCGATCGGTGCGAATGACGGCAAATGGTGATTGGTGCCGGCGCGAGGAGTAGATTTGGGGTTTTTGGATGTTAATGTGTTATCTCTTTCTCTTTTTCGATCTACAGTTAATGATTTGCCATAGTGGTGGCTGCTTGTTGTTGGCTTTTGGGTGATGGTGGTTGTGATGTTGGTTGGCGATGGTAAGGTAGCAGTGATGGTCGTGGAAGTGGCGACGATGGTTGTGGATGGATTGGTGCGGGATATGGGTGGTGTTGGTTTGACTGTTTGGTGGTGGCGGTGATTTTGTGACTGTGGAGGTGGTGGTGGCTGTTATGGTGATTTCTGGGGGCGGTGGAGATGGATCTGTAGTGGTGGTTGTGGTACGATTT